AATGGGAGGAAAGAGTAAAACGACAGAGACATTCAAAAGAAAAATGAAATCTATAAAATATAAATGGACATTCTAAAACTAAAAAATACAATATTTGAAGTCAACTAATTGGGTTGATTAAATGGAAGACTGCACAGTGCAGAAGGCAGGCTTGATAAATCTGAAAGATGGGTCAACAGAAAACACCCAAACTGATGCACAGAGAGAAAAAAAAAGGCAGAAAGATCAGGGAAGAAAATAAAAAGCACATGGGTCACAAACAGTGAAGTATATTTATAACTGTACTGTCAGAAAGAGAGAAGCGATAATACAGTAGAAGCAATATGTGAATGGATAATTTTTCACAACTGATGGAATACATCAACCCACAAATTCAAGAGCTCAGTAAACCCCAAGCATGATAAATAAAATGAAAAACATAAGTATGCTCAGCACAGTCAAACTGCTGAAAACAAAGATAAAAAGAAAATCCTAAAAGCAGCCAGAAAAAGAACACACATTACCTACAAAGTTTGAAGCTGACTTACAACAAAAAATATGAAAATCAGAGGACAACAGAATGCTAACTTTTAAGTTGCCAAATAAATAAAACCGCCAATCTAGAATTCCATATCCAAAGAAATACCCTTCAAAAATGAGGGTGTGATTAAGACCTTTCAAACAGATGCTGAATGAGTTAACTGCCCCCAGGCCTGCAGCATAAGCAATATTAAAAGTTCTTCAGGCTTAAGAAAAATGAATTAAGATGGAAGCACAGAACTACCAAAAATAAAAAATAAAAAAGTGCAAAGAAAAAAAGGTATGTATAAACAAGTAAGAACACTGACTACTGAAAGCACAGATATTCCGACATTTATAACCACAAAATATATAACAACTATAGCACAAAGAGTAGAGGCGCAGCAAATGGAATTGAACCGTTTTCAAATCCTTGCATTGTTCAGAAGGTGGCAAAAACGTTAATATAGCGCAGACTATAATAAGTGAAATACAGATATTATAATCTGTAGGGTAACCACTGAAATAATAATACAATCAGGTGTAACTAAAAAGCTAATAAAAGAGATAAAATAGAATAGTAAGAAGTACTTTACCTAGCCAAAGGAAGGTAGGAAAAGGAGAAAATAAAGGAATAAAGAAAAAACTGGCAAAAAAAATAGCAATAAAAGCTACTGCATCAGTGATTATACCAAAAATAAATAGTCTAAACACTCTAATTAAAGAACAAAGATTCTAAGATTGGATAAAAGAACAAGACCAAAGTATAAAATGTTTACATGACATGCACTTTTAAACATAAAGACATAAACAGGTTGAAAATAATGGAACAGAAAAAGTTTTGTCACACAAACAATAGTTAAAACAAAACTGGTATGGCTACAACAATTATCAAAGTGGCATGAAGTATTCATACAGCTAACAAATGATGTTTTATAATTATAAAAGTGTCACTTCATCATAAAGACATTAACAATCCTAAATTTTACTGAATAATGCAGCTTCAAAGTATATAAAATAGCTTCTCCTCCAATCATTTCTACTCTCTATCCTGCTTTCCTTTTCTAATCTCCATACTTTTCACAGTATGACATTATATATTACTTATTGCTTTCCTTAGTCCCCCACCTCTTTGTGGAGAATGTAAGCTCCACAAGGGCAGAGACTTATTCTATCCTGATCACACTATATCCCCTGTAACTAGCCTAGCACATAGTAGGTACTCAATAAATATTCGCTGAACAAATTAATAAAACTGTCACTACAGTAACTTATTTTCTTAGTGTTTACTTTTAAAGTTTATATTATACATTTCTTTTCTTCAGTTATGCACCCTTTTAACTTAAATAATACTTAGTAAGTCTCTGCCAGCCAAGATGTTGCATGAGAAGTTTAAACAAGAAGTCTGAAAAATGTTACTAGGAAATATATTTCCTCTTTATGAAACAAAGCCTCCAAAATTAAAAATCACTAAAATGTGCCTTCCTCCATTTAGTAAACATATTTAAATATATATAGATTCACATAAATAAAATAATACAGTTATATATTAGCTTTCATGTTTATTCAACTTCACAGAAAATCCAAAACTGTGTCTGAAACTTGGTTATCTATCTAAATACCAACTGTTCATTACGGTGACATAATACTATGTGGTAGGGGAGATATGCCTAAGTTAAACAAATTCTTAAATTCCTGACATTCTTTAAGTGGGCAAAAGGAAAATCAAAAATCAAACTTACAAGTTATAAGAAAATACAGAAAGTAATGTAACCTTTAATACCCGGAACAAGTTTTACAGCCACATTTGTAATTTACATATACAGTGGAGATCACTGAAAAAGCTTCCTGTTGCACTGCAGCAAGAAATTTTACTATAGTGTAGATTAAACGGATTTGCTACAGAGTGCAGCAAGACAACCTCACTGAAGAATCATAAGATCTTCATAATGGAACTTGTTACAGTGAGTTAAATATTTTCTTAATTTTTTTATACAGTATATATTTTCAAAATGAACATTATCACTGAAAAGTTTGCTAACCACTGTTAGCAATTAACGTTTTACACATACTTAATTTTACTTTAGTTACAGTATGTGGTTCTTCAAATGTTAGTACATGAAATGTTAAGTTTCAACATAATGAGATAATCCCCTAAGATGACTCAGGACATCAAAACTTTGATCATTATTGCACCTATTTTTTCTAGAGAAAACTGGAAAATTTACATCATAATCCTCCCAAAAAGTGAACAGACAAGTTATAAAATCACAGACTCACTGTCACTGAACAAAATCTACAATGAACATTTTTTGTGAACTGATGTACAGAATTAAATGTGCAATGAAATTTGGTTAACTATGATCATGCAAAGAAAAATCCTCCACAATCATTTTTTCACTGTTTTATAAAATGGTCTTAAAGATATACTCCCATAAACATTTCTGGTGCAATTTAGTCAACGACAAAAATACAAAGCTATCCCTTATTCTTTATTTTATAGATTTTAAAACATGCCTTTGTAGTGCTGAAACAGAAATAGCGTGTTTGGGAGAACTGAGCTAATGACACATTTAAAAACCAACTGTATCTTGGTCCAACATTAGCTGCCTTGATATACAGCAGCCTCCCATAATCACTGGTGTCAGTACTGTTGTAGATGAAGAATAGTTAAATACTGAGAGATTAAGACACAATTCAAAACTTTTTTTAAAAAAATAAAAGGCCGTTTCATAAACATGAAGAAATCTTCAAAAGAAAAACAATCACATCAATTGTGATATACACTGGAAAATAGTAAAATGTCACTTTCCAAAATAGTAGTTTCTTTATTATATCCCCCATCTATTATAACCAACTTGGAAATATACCTTAAACATAATGGCATATTAAATGAAAATGCTCCATTATCCATTGTGATAAATTTAATAAGTTAGAATATGATTTTCTTTTCTGATGGTAACCATGAAAAAATGAAAGAACAGCACCTGAAATACTAAAATGAATTTAGGAAAGCATTAAGTTGTAACCTATATGTTTTGGTTGAAAATACAGTTCATAAAACTGTATAAAGGATGCTGCCTTTGTTTCTATATTTTATAGATTACAACAAAGAAAAGAAAAAAGATATGCTCTACACCCAAATATATTTCCACTTCTCCCAATCTGGACAAAGTGGAATTCCATTCGAAGTTCATAAGATTGTGAACCTAGCTCATATAGTTGGATATATCACTCCCACCCTGCCCCTCCCCTCCAGAAACAATTTTTGGCTCCAAAATAAAGTACAATAATAAACTCTTGATGAAAAACTATGTTATGGGGCAATCTATCATATACTATGGCTAAATACGAATTTACAGAAAAGAGCACATCCCATTTTCAGCACTTTTTTTCATAAACATGCAACTCACTATAAAATACAAAACACTTGCTTTCAAGAACAGCTTTATAAAGACACACTGCATCAATAAAATTTTTTTCTTTCTGATTAACTTTACACTGTTATGGAGAACTGAAACACTTCTAATGTGTATATATCAGATTTTATATTATAGTGTAATAATTTGCATTTTCTGAACATAATTGTTCAAGAGGAAATATCTATACACAATAACATTCTAGACTATTAAAAACTAATTCAAACTGCAGAATTTTATTGATACAGTAGATTAGTAAAAACTGAAAAGGGATGATAAAATGGGATAAAGAATTCAGTACATTATTTTATAACACACTCTTTAAAATTATAATATTTTAAATCTCTCTCTTTTTAAAATTTTCCTTGCCATGAAAGGCCAGAAAATTCTGGGACCAATACTGAGGTGTAAAATAATCAAACAACTTCAGGACTATTCCACAGTTTGCGTGGCGTCCTCCCATCAGAGGCATTGTTCAGGTGTAATGGCAGACAATTTAGCACCTCTGAAGATTAAGGGTGCCCAGGAGTAAACACTAGGTAAGATACACAAGGGCAAGAGATCATTTTAACTCTCCAACAAATTGTGACATCAAGAAAATGACACCATTTGTTGAAAAAAAATTTTCACAGTAAAACTGCAGAGAATACAAATACAAACACTGACAGATTACTGCTTAAGATCTATCCTAACAAACTCTTTTCAAATCAATAGATCCAATAAACAGCTGGGTACTGTCAGTTTAAAGCCGCAGATAAAAGCTATACAAGCACTTTAGAAGTCAGAAACATTAAAAAAAAAAAAAGAAGAAGAAGAAGAAAAAATATATTTACAAGTTTCTTCTTTATGTCTACACAGCCATCGCACATTAGACTTTCTCACAAGACTCCATAGTCAATGTTATCACCGTGCGCATGGCTAAAAGCATGTGACCACAAATACATGAGGTCATCAGAGTAAGGTCCAACTGTCCACTCTTCAGCAGTCCCACTTTGTGCATCAAAGGCTTTACTCAGCCTGAAGCTTGACAAAAAAAATTTTTTTTTCAAAGCTTTCACACAGAAAGTTATTAATGACATTTGTTCATCGCCTTTCTCTTTTAGAACTTCGCCGCCGTACCTTGAAAGAAATATCACCAGATGCTTAATTAAAATGGGTATATTATTAATTAGACACAGCAGTAATTATTATTTTTTAACCAATCATTATTCTTACATGTTCTTGATTTTCTTTGCTTTTCTTTCCTCAAAACCTTTCTCCTATGTTAACTTCCTCCTTGACATCACATATTTAGACGTACATAATATATGAATGCCCGTAAACAGCCTTTCCCAGGATAGCAAAAGAGAGAACTATCTTACTTTTCTATTTAATAATTTTAAAGAGAAATGAACAGAAGTCAATGCCAACAGCAAGAAAAACAATTGCAAATATCACCTTTTTACTTATGTTTCTGTAGTAAAGGAAAACATTTGATATTTATGAATTTAGGCTTATAGCTGTCTTTCTCAGAAAACAGCTATTGAGTTTGGATCATACCAACTATCAAATACATAAAAATAATCTGAAATTCAGACATATTACCACTTACTGGCAAGTACTAATGAAAGCATAAAACTTTAGTTCAAAAAAGATCAGTATTAACAAGAGGAATACAAATAGAACAGGATTTTAATTTAATTAATTTACAGTATAGTTTTTCTTTGATGAAGACATCAGTCACTATGTACAACTCTTCAGCCTTATTTTTACACCCCCCTAAAACCCTTTACAAACAACCCCCACTAGTTTGAGACCATAATTCAACATATTTATCTGTGGTCTTAATTCATTCACATAAATGCATCCAGATGCAGATAGAAGTGCTGATTATATTAAATAGAACAGAGGGGCAGGGATCAACCCTGGGACCTGACCAAAGAACACAGGTTCCTCAAACAAAGATGGCTGGCTGAGCTGACCCAAAGATTCAGCATTAATGTTAGGAAGATGACAGCTCTTACTTAAATGTGTTAATTATATTTCTTCCAAAGAGAAAAAAATCTGAGATGTAACCAGCAAAACCATTCATTTCTTTTAAAAAAAAGTATCTCAGGAAGCATCATATTCCTACTTCTGTAAAAGAAGTGTCTATTACCAATTTTATGAATTCCAAAACCTAATTTTAGTTAAAGACATGATTTTATTCTATATGACTAACTACTAGTAGCTAGTGGGAAACTCAAATACTTACGAAACAAGAGTATATATAACAGATACAAGGAGAACTTAAATGCGTAAGGTGTTGACATCAGACTGCCACTTGTTCCTCTGCGTTCAGTTTTAAACTGGGCATTTACACTTTCACTAGGCTACATCTATTATTCTCACTTGGTTTCAGGTTTCCACAAAGGATATAGTCTCCACTATCTAAGCCGGCAGATGAAACAACACTATAAACTAATGTAGAAAAATATATAAATATTTAGAATTATTAAGTAACAGCAAGTGCTAAATGGATCTGACCAAATATTTACCAACTCTAAGTCTATATTCCATACTATTACACATGGCACTTTCATAAACACATACATTTACTGCAGAAATTTCTTCTTCCTCTGTTTCTTCCTGTGGATTATCATCGACAGGAGAGCTACCCTGAAACACATCTACTTCTTCACTTGAATCATTTTCTTTAGTAGCGGCTTGTTTGGAGCGTCCTACACGGCTAGAGTAAAACACATGTAAAATAAAATGAACATTCTGATCCTTAAGTCGTAGGTTACTTCATACAGGAAATGCTTTAAATATTTCACAGGCTTTCATTATCATTTTTATTCTCAATTACCTTGTAAGCCAAGAAATATTTTTCTTACATTCCGAACCCTAAACAAGCACTTAATCCTAGAATCTTACATATAAAAAGATCTACCAAATAACAAGTCAGTGTGACCGAGACCAATACCATAAAGGATTTTAAAACATAACCCAAAGTCTACTCTTCCTTTTACCTTTCCCAACTCAGTAAAAGACTGAGTTGCTCAAAGCAGAAATTTTAAGTCTTTCATCATAGTCTACAACTCTTTATCTAGCCCTAAGATTCTACTTATAAAGAAATCTCAAATCCATTCACTTCTTTCCATCTTCATTGTTACTACATATTTCTAAACCATTCTCATCTCTTGCCTCTTCTCTCTACAAGTAATCTTTCAAAAATGTAAAAATAGCTGATGCCACGCCCCCTAGAGAGCCCCCTACGTACTGAGAGTAACTGCATAAACCTTAATACAGTATATAAAGTCCTGCAGACAGGCCTTGCCTACCTGTCCATTCTCATCTCCTTCCACTCCCCAGTTCCCCACAACTACAATACAGCAATATCCTTATCTTCCTTCAGCTCTCTGAATTTGCCAGGATTTTTCCCACTTCAGAACCTTCCAAAACAGTGTTCCCTCCACCTGAAATGTTCCTCTCCCTACTCTCTATCAGTCTAACTCCTAATACTCTCAAGGAACCACTGGTCAATTTCCAAAGAGAAAAAAACTTCCCCAATTCCCCAGCCCTGCCCTTACATTGTCTTACAGCACCCTAACTTTATCCTTCAGGGCACATATCACAATTTACTATTCCATATTTATGTGTGATTATTTAATGACTACATGCCCATTTAGATGGTAAGTCCTATAAGGATAAGAATCGTGCCCGTTTCGTGCCACTATATTCCCTAGCACCTAGTACTCTCTGAAACAGGAGACACTCAAAAATATGTAAGAGGTGTCACCATTTAATTAAATGTATCTCTCTTGATAAATATTTGTTTTTTAATTAAGAACTTAGCCTATCATTTCTATAAGCAATTGAAAATAGATATTGTTTAATTCATATTCAAACTAACTACTCAAACGTACTTGATTCAGTTTTTCAGAATTAATAGAAGAAAATACAAAGAAAATAATACAATCTTTCTCAATTCCACTGAGGTCAGAACAAGAAAACAGACAAATCATAACATATGTTATTACATTACCTCTAAAAAGGGGCTTCCCAGTGAAAGGAAGTTAGGCTGTTAAGACAGAATACACAATCTCTTTCTGTACTGATTTTTTAACAGAAATGTTTGTTTGATTTAGAACACTCATGTGAGGAACTTGTGTAATTTTAGGAGGTAACATGATAATCATCTAAGCCCTTAATTTTATGAGGCCCAAACAGAAACAAATTAAAGTTACAAGCATGAAAGACATTCACCCCGTTATATTCTTGTTATAAAATTAACCATGGGAATTTAAGATGCCTTAAGAATATTTTTTTTATCGAAAAAACAACGATTTTCCATGGTTGAATACAAACACATTTATGAAGCTGCCACAAAAATGTACTTACCTTTACTTTTTATCTGAGGGAAAAATTATATGGAAAAAGGCAGGAAGTACTGGCTAGACACTCAGGTAACTTTTCCTCTTCCTATGGAATACACAGGAACAGGAAAAACTTTGAAGGTAACTGAGTATTTAACCAAGGTCTGTTGGCAACTCTGAAAAGTCAAGCTATTCAAGTATGGGATTACTTTCAGAAAAACTGCAAAATTTCTAGTAGAAGACATGCTGTTCTATTTCCACTTTGAGGAGAAAAAAGTGCCAATTTACAAATTACAACACTGATGCCCCTGTCACTTTAACAAGTTTGGACACAGATTTGTTACTGTAACTCTCCTATAAACATGTACTTGTGTGAACATCCAAAACTATCTATAGATACAGATATGTTAATGTGATTAGAAAACAAACAAAATCAAGACATCAAAAACTTGAGATCACCATGTGATAATTTCCACAGATGTAATTTAAAAAAAATGATGCCTGTTACTTTCCGACATGGTTCAAAGAACCAAAGCAAAAGTGTAAAAGCTATTTTTTTAAAGCTGTTGAGGAAAGACACGAAGAAAAATTGTAGCATGAAATGACAAGGTAACGTGGTCTATACTGTAATTATTTAAAAATACTTCATCATCTCTTCAGGTACCATAAAGTATGTATTGGAAATAATAAACTATTTGGTATTCATTTATAAAGTTTTGTCTAAAACCTGTAAAAATGTACAAATGTCACCAAAGGTTGACTGGGTATCAATCACCTACGTAAGTTTACAAAAATGTTATGTTACCTAGTGTAATGGGGCTAAATGTATGGGATTTAAATACAGCCCTATGTATATTTAGAAATTTATGAACCCCTGCAAAATAATCTGAAACTGGTTTGAAATTTAATATTATTTACAACTTACACATTTTTGGGGGGTTGTGATGGTGATGGCGTTTTTGATGGTCTTCCTCGTCCTTTCTGTGGTGTGGATTGTATGGATTCAACTGCACTAGTTTCAGGAGATTCTGCTCTGCTTTGGGGAAGACCCAAATGTGGATAGCATCAAATTATGATTTATAATATAGTAACTAAATGTATACATTTTAGAGTTAAACATACTTACCTTTGTTGTGCTCTCCTTGAAGTTCGGTGCTGTTTACTTTTTGACTTCTGTTCTGTGTTTCCACTTTGTCTTTCTTCTTCTTCCTCTTCTTCTGCTGTTGAAGGTCCAGGTTTTTTTTTGCTTCCTTTTTTAGAAGTTTTCATTGTTGGCTCTTCTTTGGGTGTACCTCCACCAGGAGGTTTTGGTGGTCGGCCTCTTTTACCTTTTTTTGGTGGACTATTCTGTTCATCCTCATTTTCTAATATATCTTCTTTGAGCCTCTTTTCCTCAGGCCACTGCTGTTCATCTGATTCTGAAGCCGTATGGCCTCTCTTCCTTCCACGCTGACTGCCTTTAGGTTTCTGTTCCTGTACCAACTTAGTCAGGTCATCCATCCCTAATTTCTCCTCTGAATCTGTTACAGGTGTTTTTTTCCGGCTTCTAGGTTTGTCCAATTCAGACTAGGAATAAAAGCCACAATTTCAAATATAAAACTTAGTATGCATTGTTAGTATATGTATTTTTAAGAATCAAAAAAAAAATCTGTTATCCACTTCAGTCATAAAAATGTACCTAAATAAGGTATAGAGTTCTGAAGTACATCAGAACGATAACTACTTACTTGCTTTTATTAATAATTTTCTAATTTAAAACACTATCTGGGGATAAGAGGGTATGTTTTTATTCTTACTCAAGCTAGAGAGCCTCAAATGAAACCCCTCAAGATCAGTATTTGATTAGATTATAAATCTTTGGTGAAGAGCTATTTCATAAAAAAGAACATTCTAAATTGAATGCTTAAATAATAGACAACTGTACTAAAGTATAATGGATCTGTTTTGATAGTCAATTTAAGTAATCCTAATTTTACCACACAATGTATAATAAGACATAAAATACCAACTATGTTATATATATATCATGCATACACATCATAAAAGAACTATTTTTATTTTATAAATGGAAGTTGCAAGATACAAAAGTTTAAACATATTCATCATTTATTAAAAATTTTGAAAACACTTCTGAACCAAAGATACCACTTCTTCCCAGATACAACTAACAAAAAAAATAACTTAAAAATAAGTGACTTTCAAATTTAAAATAAAATACCAGTCTACATTCACAGAATTTAAGCACTGACCAGCAGATGGAGATTGAGGAAATTCTTCAAAGAAACCAAGAATAGTGCATATGAATTTATAATGCTCTCCACAGGTATACACATGTATATAAAACATATAATATTTATAGTACTAAGTTAATTTCCAAATGGTTTGTTCCAGTTTACATTCTTAAAAAATCAGTGAAAAGAAAAATTATCTAATTACTTATAATTTTTTAATATGTTTAATTAGTCACTTGTGTTTCCTGCCTGTGAACTGCCTAATTATATCTTTGGTATTATGCCCTTTGTCCATCTGTTTATTAAAGTCTGAGTTTTAATCTAAATATTCTACACTTTTGTGTATATTTAAATTTTATTTCCTATTTGTTATTAACTGAATTGTGTCCCCACAAAATTCATATGCTGAAGTGTTACGATAGGATACTACTTGGAGATGTGGCCTTTGGGAGGTAATTCAGTTGAGATAAGGTCATGAGGGTGGGGCCTACATGATGGGATTAGTGTCCTTATGAAAAGAGATACCAGAGAGATCTTGCTATCTCTCTCTCCACCATGTTAAGAACACAGTAAGAAGGTGGCCATCTGCAAACCAGGAATAGAGCTCCCACCAGGAACTGGATTGGCCCACACTTGATCCTGGACTTCCCAACATCCAGAAATGTGAGAAAATTAATTTGTGTTGTTTAAGCCTCCCAGTCTATGATATTTTGTTATGGCAGACTGAGCAGACTAAGACATTACTGTATCTTGTTTTAGAATAGGATGCTGAGTTGAGGTTCTAAACTGTTTTTCCTACTTCCACTGCCAAACAGACATCTAATCAATTTCAAAGTCACTGATTTGTAATGCTTCCTTTATTTTGCATTATTTTTCAAAAATAATAATGTGGGCTTCCCTGGTGGCACAGTGGTTGAGAGTCCGCCTGCCGATGCAGGGGACACGGGTTCGTGCCCTGGTCTGGGAAGATCCCACATGCCGCGGAGCGACTAGGCCCGTGAGCCGTGGCCACTGAGCCTGCGTGTCCAGAGCCTGTGCTCCGCAATGGGAGAGGCCACAACAGTGAGAGGCCCACATACCGCAAAAAAAATAAATAATAATAATAATGTTTCTGGGCTAACGTAACAACAGCGCAATATTTTACTAATTATAACTAAGTATGTTTGTGTTTGGTTGGGCTGATCTTATTACTCCTCTTTTTTGCATCCATTTTATTCTTCCACATGGACTTAAAATCACACTGGAATTTTACAATGATATCTTCATTTAGAAAGAACTGTCATCTTTTTAACTCATTTTTTCCATGAAGGAATATGGCATGTCTTCTCTCTCTTCTCTTTCTCAGTTTTGGTATTTTCTCCACATAGGTTCCCCCTACCTCTTTTTAAGGTTATGTTTAGATCCATCTATCTAATTTCGTTGTTGTAATGGCTAGTGTTGTAAAGTAAATCCCCTTTCTCCCAAGTGTACATCTGATATAAAGTAAAATTACCAGAGTAAAATTATAGTTACATATATACGTACATACTACACTCTTAGTTTTTCAACTGCTTCCCTTATTTTTTTTAAGAGTACAAAAATAAAAATAAATTTGTCTCTTCTTTTTCATTGTCATACTTTTGGCTCCTATTTAATGTCTTTCAGAACTGGTCAAATATTCTAGAACAATTTTAAATAACAGGTTGTTTTGTTCCTGATTTTTAATAAGAATGTTTCAAGTATTTTGCCTTTAAGAATAATAATTTTGACTAAATCATTGACTACTGATTTAAACAGATAAAACTTTTAGCATGTTAATGAAGTATCTTTCTAGTATTAATTTACAAAGAGTTCATATTTGTCAAGAATGAATTCTAAATTTTATTTGTGTCTGCTTGGCATGATCTGAGATTATCTTGTTAGTATTTTTATTTGGGATGTTGATTTGCTTTTTATTCTTTTTAGCGTTTAAATTATCCTTGAAATCTAGGGGAAAATAAAGCCCTATAAATAATTGGTTTTAATTTGTTAGTATTTATCTAGAGTTTTGTACATAAATTAAGAATTAACTGTCATTACTTAGAGATGGGAAGAGAAACATTAAATTTAAATTAAACCCTCCAATTTTCAATGCTACAATTCATTCTGACATCCAAAGATCTGAAAAAGTGGCTGAATTCATTTATGCTCTGGAAAAGGTTGTTGGCAAACCCGAAATTCAATGTCTGTTTTCTTGAGAATATCATAAAATAATCTAAGCTTCCTAAAGCACTACATTCTCTAATTTTTCACTTTGTACTGTACTGTTTTCAGAACAGAGGGGGTATAAAATTGAGGTTAGAAGCAGGAAATGGGGAAGATATGTTATTTGTAAAACTAAATATTACAATACAAATGTATATGAAGAATAATCCCTTTGCAGTGAAATTTCAATGTGAAGCTTGTAGCATATAAAAAAGACGATACTCTTTCACCATAATCTATTGGTCTTTAAATTGAACTTCTGTCTCATAATGCTCACCTCTTTGAGAATATTTCAGTTGAAACGAGCTTATTAATAAGGTTCTTCTGAAAATGGATGCAATGTTACACAAAGACCGCCAAAGACCTTCATTAATTATATAAATAAATCTCAAAAGCTCAGAAATTCAAAACTGTTCTGTAAAAAATAGACTTCAGGGCTTCCCTGGTGGCACAGTGGTTGAGAGTCTGCCTGCCGATGCGGGGGACGCGGGTTCGTGCCCCGGTCCGGGAGGATCCCGCATGCCGCGGAGCGGCTGGGCCCGTGAGCCATGGCCGCTGAGCCTGCGCGTCCGGAGCCTGTGCTCTGCGACAGGAGAGGCCGCGGCGGTGAGAGGCCCGCATACAGCCAAAAAAAAAAAAAAAATAGACTTTGTTCTGCATTGCTCCAAAAGGTAGAACTAGATATGGAATTTATAGTCTAGCAAAATATTAACCATGCTTCCTAATTAAGGGGGCAGTGGGGAGGGAAAGGAGGCAGTATATGTGGGTATGGGTAGCCTAGTTGAGGTTTCCAACAAATGAGAGAAATTATAAGCTCTCCACTTAAGGCATTTTCAAGCACCAACTCTCATAAATGATAATGAAGAAATTTCTGCACTAAGTGAGAAGCAGGACTAGAAGACATAAATACCTTTTCCAACTCAAGGATTCTTCCATAAATCAGGATAACAGGATTCCTTTCTGGCTAAGCAATCAATTTTTAATTCTGTTTGGGTGAAAATTTTAAACAGCCAATAAAAATCCGAATTTATAGTATAGTTAGGATTTAGTAAGAATTTTAGAATTTTAATTTTTTTAAGTGGAAAGAGAAACAATCTGCTAAAATAAATTACTGGAGAAATCTGAAAAAAACTGAAAATAATTTAAACTTCTTGGGATATGTAAGCTTGGGCCAGTGGAAGACAGGAGTGCAAGTTCTAAGTCAGAGAAAGCTAATGTTTTTATTAATAACCTTTTGCCTCTATTAATCGAGTAGATTAAAACACATTAACTTTCATTATTATGATAATCATTAATCAAAAATATTAATCTTTATAACAAAACAGCAGCAACAACCATTCATTTGGGCTAATTCATTTTATTCTGATAAACCTTACCAGCTAAGTATCCACATTTCACTGATAAAGAAACTCATTCAGGGAACCTAATGGGTTATTCAAGAAATGTTTAGAGCTAACCTCAAAAGTCAAAATATGCTCAATTATTAATGCCATCAGGTTGTGTTGCAATACACAACTGTATTCTGTATCTTTACTAGAAGTACCAAATTTGTCTTCAAATGACATTTATAAATTATGCCTATCACACACACATCAATATCATTGCTATTAAGATTTTAAAACTAAACAAGGACTTTATGAAAACAGTAGCATTTCCTACATTTACTAGAAACTTATTTAGTAATTAAAGGCTCAAGAAATCAACTAAAATGAAGGAAACTTTAAGGACCCTCATTCTAGCCTCCTTCTCTAAGGCTAAGCCTAAATTTACTGTGTTTAAAAAAAAACACAAAAGCCAAGAAGTTCTGAGTATGGAACTGGCATGTTTGATTCCAAAGCTCTAAAGAATAAAGATTGCTTACTAGAATGACAAGAAACACAAGAAGTTCAATATACTTAAATTACATGGTAGAGGATAATTATGAACTCAAATTTGTGAGTAAAATCAGATGTCAAACTTGAGAGTAAAATTAACTGGTTTCAGTGTAAAAATGATTATTTACATAGTAAAAATAATTATTATTGTACTTATTATAAAATCAAACCAAATATCTCACCCTTACAAGATCAGAGTCGTCTCTCTTGTCACTTTTTTTCCCCGGCAAAGGTGAAGACATTGTGTAATCTTCATTTTCACTGTGATCCATTTCAGAACTATCAAGCCTTTTAATATAGACATTTGTAATTGTTATTACAATCAAATAACCTTAAAAGTTTTTCCTTTTCCCTAGTGTAGCTTTATAACTTTATGAGGAAAAGTTTCATTCTTTTCAAAAAGTATCCATTTTAGGGCTTCCCTGGTGGCACAGTGGTTGAGAGTCCGCCTGCCAATGCAGGGCACGTGGGTTCGTGCCCCGGTCCAGGGGGGATCCCACGTGCCGTGGAGCGGCTGGGCCCGTGAGCCACGGCTGCTGAGCCTGCGCGTCCGGAGCCTGTGCTCCGCGATGGGAGGGGCCACAGCAGTGAGAGGCCCGCGTACCGCAAAAAAAAAAAAAAGTATCCATTTTAGTATATTTAACACCATTTGGCTATTTTCCATCATCTTCCCTTTTCATCCCTTCCCTAGATTACTATTAGCTGACTCCAAAGTGGCATTTCCTACCTCAATTCTAGTGCCTCTATTCTCCACCAATAATCTGGGCAATCTTTTAAAAGCACAAATTAGACCACTAGACTCCAGAACATCTTCCAGTTTTACTTAAAATCAAACCCAAATTCCTTACATTACCCACAAAGTTCAAACATAATCTGGGTACCTCACACCTTCATCCCTGACCATTATTCTCTCATTCCTACTCTCCAACCAAATTGATCTCTCAAACACACCTAGCTCATTCCCTTAGAAAGAATCTTAGTGAACCGACGGGATTTGGAGGAAAAAAGCAACAAAGGCTGAAAGAAAGTTTAACCAAAAGTAAAGTAGGGAAACTAGGAGTCATTTGTTGTGAATAACAATGGGAGATGAGAACTGGGTAAAATTGTATAATGGTCTTGAAAACAAAGAAGGGAAGACAATTAAGATTTCCAAGCAATGGAATAACCTGAAAACATAGCATTTAAAAAAGATTATCTAGCAGTGATATGATATACAATACATAGACAGAGGAATAAGAAAGGGAAATAGCCAAATACTACAGTAATTAAAGAAAGGGAATGAATGATATGATGATAGCAGAAAAGAGAAGTATTAAATAAACATTGTAGAGAAAAATAACTGGCAAAACTTATTAGCACAGGGGAAAAATCAAAGACAATTTTGAGGCTCTTAGCCTAGATGGGTGAATTAGATCATCTTTGATTATAACCAGGAATTCAAGGAGAAAAGCCAATAATTTAGGAAATGAGCTGCTGGAAATGTTTTTGGTCAGTTAAATATGAGGCCATCCAGTAGAAAAATGTCTAAATGACATAGGTAAAGAAGAGTCACTTAAGGTATCAGCCACTAATATGCATTAAAACAGGAATCAAAAAAAACCAAGAACTTTAGATGTAATTTTTGTTTTAATTCGATTATACTATGTATCATTTAATAATTTATTCATTACAAGGAAACTGATAAGACATTTTAGAATGTCTCCTCCCTTATTTACTGATTGGTTATGAATAGTGCAAAAGACAACATAATCTTTCATAATAACTTAGCAAAATGAATAAATGGTGGCAGTTTAGCCTTGTACAAGGCTCTGCTGCTGACAAATGGTATGCTAAGCCCCATGCTAAAACCAGTTAGTGTGAATTCTTTTCCTTTTTTTCTTTAAGAAGAAAAAAAAAATTTCTTGCAAAGCATAATTCAAAAGTACGTTTTAAATTTTTTTTTAAAACAAAAAAGTTTATATACGTACATGGTAAAAGAAATTCAAACCGTATCAGAATATAAAATCATCTCCCTCCTACACTAGATTACTGTAAACACTATTAAGATGTTGTGTACTCTTCCCCAAATTTTCTATGCATTTACAAGCAAATGAAAATACAAACCCTTCTTAAAAACTCAAAACTACTTTACACTGTTCTATTCTTTGCCTTTTTCACTCAATAATATATTGTGGAAACTCTTCATATGAGCTCATACCTCATCATTTTTTAATGACTATGTATTCCATTGTATGGATGAACTAGACATTTAGTTTGGAAACTAGCTTATGTCTACCAACAACAACAAGCTAAAATATTAAAGGCTAAGATGGAGTACCTACTTAAATGAGTAAGCAAATACATTTAACTTGTAAATGGCTACCAGTGTTAAAATAGGAATGTTCAGATATGCACTGATTTTCATTTACTGACATTAAATGTAAATGATGTTATTTTAGGTCTCATAGCCTTGATGGAGTCCTTAAATGTTAAGTATGGTATTTCTTATGTACTTACCTTCCTTTTATTCTTCCAGGAGAGCTTGGATTTGAGCTGCTGCTTGCATTGCTTACAGTTTCCATTCGTGATGATTTTGTCTGAGATTGTTTGCCTGCTGATGAAAGCGGCTTATTAACAGCTCCTAGAACATTGGTTGTTTTAGGCTGAAATGAAAAATGCATATCTTTCTATTTGATTAAAACCAAAAGAAGTTTAGATGTAAAGAATCATAACACCTGTCAAAGTATTTACATATACAAATCATGAAAAACTTGCCTATCCTTAAGCAAAATAAGAATAAGAATTATAAATTGAATATCACTGAACAAAAACTATATAAACAGAATAATAGTTAAGTTTCTTAGTTACCTGCAGTAAAAGGCTTACATAGGAAGTGAGAGCACATAAAATGTATAGTCAAAAATGAAAACTGATAATTAGACTCTTGCTAGGGAAGGACATAAGAAGATGTCTTTTTACTTTTACTTTAATATTTTTATCTTAATATTACAAGATAAGGTATTTGAAAGAAGGTCTCCAGGGTTTTACCATAAGCTAAAAAACAAGTTCTATATCTCAGCTTGCATCTATATAGTAAATATAACTATTACTTACTAGTAAATGGAAGATATCTAACAATTTTGATACATCAATTTTTAAAGAAGTACTAAACATAATTATGCCACAGTCACACTAAAATAAACTACCACATAAAAATTAAAACAATTTTCAAAACATACTTTCCCAGGAGTGAAAAACGATTTCATTTCTGGAGGCAGATAATTTTTGGTGTTACTGAAGTTCTACAAGCAAGGGAAAAAAATAATAGTCAATCACTACTGAAGCACGTATCTACGAGGTGATTCAAAAGCCAATAAAGCATAGAGCAGCTTTTGTTTTAAAGTACATTATAAAATACCTATTTGTTTAAACTAAACAGTCAGTTGAAACACAAAATTTTAGTCACTGATTTTAAATGCTGTAATAAGCTTAAATTAACCTCGTACTAATTCTACTACTAACACAACATATTTGAGCTCTAACATGCTAGAGCTCTAAGAGCTCATCAGCAAACACATGCTTATGTAATAATACTCTCCAGGGAAGAGACCTCATATACTCCTATTATCTTAATCACAAAAGGTGAATGCTTAAAAGCAGACAGTCCCTTTCATTGGGTGAACTTACAGGACTGTTCTGATCTCTGTGCACTGGGTAAGACGTTAACTGGTATTTTGCTTTAAAAAAAAAAAGAAAAAGGTAGTGGCTGTTTCCTCTCAGTTACTTTAACAGGCTTAGATGCACTATAAAACTCCAAGAGAGATCCTAAAAACACCTTTTTTAGTATCATACAATACTTGAGTTTTCTGAGAGTGGTTTGGGAACATCCCTGTAGTGTTCCCAGGGTCTTGGGCTTGCTTAGTGTCAGTTCTCTGCTTGTTTCTTCATACCAGTTAGAAATCTCAAGGGCTTATCAGACTATCTCTATCAGCATTCTCCTTCCCATTTTGGATCAATGGCCATTATCTCACAGATTACAAGCTTTGATCATTTTTGCCTGTGCTCTTAGACTAGCATAAAACTTGGAATACAAACTCTAGATCATCCTAACTCATCTCGGAACCTATTTGTGTCCTCCAGTTTGGCCCATATTCTGCTCTTCAACCACATTGTTAAGACTCACGGCAACCTTTTCATGACATTAGTAGTGTGTCACTTTTTGATATTGATTCTTCGTGATCTTCCCACAACCTAGTGCTGAGAATACATTTTATTTCAACTTATACAAACAAATCCTAAAATAACTACCTTGTCAGGTTGGGTGAAAAAACGAGCTGGTAGTACTGGGTCTTTAGGAGATTCCAAACTATATGTGGTGCTTTTTGACATGATGATATTCATGGCAACATCACACACAGTATACAGTTTCTGCAATGGTATTAAAAGAAAATTAGGTACTTAAATCAGTATCCTAGACTCTGAGAATTAGGAGTTAATTCTAGAACATGCATTTAGTATGCAGTTTTCAGGACAACAGTGTAAGTTAAAAGACTTACTCTATTATTTTCATTAGTTTACTAGTAACAGCATTACTACTAATTCTATATTAATTCTATGTAAGTCTAATTACTACTAATATGAATACTACTAATTATTTATTATACTACTAATAGAAAAGACTGATGTTGTCTACAGAAGTTTCATACCCTATACTCAAATGCTTGAAATCAACATGGAATCATAACTATTTACAAAGAATTACATACTTCATTCATTTTTGCATCATCTGGTCCTTGAGCATCTTTTGTTTGTTTAATATTTTCTACCATCTTTCTGATAAATGCATGACTGTTATTTTCATTTTTAGCCATTAATATTTCCAGAACAAACCAAAGACACCTAAAAAATACCAAGAAAAAAAGAAAAAATTCACTGTTAAATACAGATATAATTCTAAATATAAATATAATGAACTCCAGGAGCAGGAAAAATTAAAAAGAAACAGCTGTAAATCAACAGAGAAAAAAATATGTCACATACATATCACAACGTTTCGGCAACGTACGTGCAAGTTCGTAATACCCCTTCACAAAGTCTCACTTTCTTTCTTAGGGAGGCAGGTTAAAAAGAAACAGAAATGGTGGAAAGAATGAAGTGATCTTAATCCCTGGCTATGACAGGAAGGGAAGACTGCCTAAAGGAATAAATGGGCCATAGATAAAGTGAAGTCTCAAATATTCAAGACTGACTGTAGTCCTAAATGGAAGTCTTCAAGAAAATCTAACCACCTTACTCAATAGTAAGAATCTTCATCAATAAATCTGAGGAAAAAGTCATGGCTGACAACTCTACATACTGTTTTTGCTTAAAGAAAGAAAAAAATAAAAGCAAGTTTCAGTACCTCAGTTTTAAAGTTAACTACATTAAATTCCACTCAAGAAAAAACTGAAAGTGCTTTGTCTCTGTGTTATGTAGACAGAATGGGACAGAGGGATAGCACAGAGGAGAAAATGGGAGAAGAGAGAAATGTGAAACAAGGTATCATTCTAGAAAGGAAAAAAGTAACCTTTGAAACCTCAGGCACAGGATAAGTTCTTCTGGTGTGGCTCTCTGCTGCAATGGAGATCACTCATGGCTGTACTGGGGCAATTTACAAATACCACCCAAAATGTTTAGTAAATTCCAAAGAATATTTTATCTATTTCAAAAACTAATGTGTTCCAATAAGGAGGAGTGGCTAAAAGTTGTCATTAGTTATATAATCACTCTAACACAGAATTCACTTTGGGAAAACTAATTGCTTATTTTTTAAAAATAGAAACTGTGGCAAAAAGAGGGTAAAATCTTTTTCTCTTGTCATGAGAAAGTTATCAATAATTTTATTCTCTTGAAGCACCTCAAATATTTAACTATGAAATATTTCTATGAATCAAGAAACCAAGAGTTACTTTCCTTTAATAAGAAGCTAAAGGCATAAGAAATTAATTTATTCAAAACCACAAAGGTCATTCTTTATTGTAACAGAAACAGGGTCTCATCCATATTTTAAAGAACTCTGGTAGTCTTACAAAGACTTCTCTAAATACCGTTATATTCCCCTATCCCACACCCAGGCATATATAGTCTTCTGGCCTCTCAACAAGAATCTTTGAAAGAACTGTTAACTGTCATAAATTTTAATTAGAGAATCACCAATGAAGTAGTAAGTGGGATCAGTTGCCTGGTTATCAACTTGGCCCATTATTAAATTAGACTATTCTCTATTCCTTATAGAGGAAGACAGTAACTGCAAAGAAAATGTGCTTACTATGTGAATAAAAGAGAATATTAATTCTCCCCACATGAAAATCTATTCAGTGTTTCAGAAGAAAGTAGGAAAAGATAAGAACTGGAATGGAAACTCTTAATGGGTTGCTTCAATAAAAAAGAAATGCCAGACTGGTAGAGAAATATGTCAGTAATACAGTAATTATGCTAAGTTGTTTGGGGAAATTATACAAGAAATGAAACATGAAGAGATGGTATGAAAAAAGAAAAATAAGAGAACAAATAAGGTAAAGAACCTTAAACTCCTAAGAAATGAAATAAATTTAATATACTAATTATAACTGAGATTCCATTATCAGCAAGAAAGGGAAAAAACTTTCAGAAAATATGAAAATGGGATGGAAAAAGTCTTACTCTTTAACATCTTTAAGTTGTTCAATATCCTGTACTTTGACATAATCTGGGTCATGTGCCAAAAGGTGAATTGTATATGGAACAACATACTCGGGTAGAAGAGACAATAATTTTTCTGAAAAAGAAAAAGAAAAAGAAAAAACAAAACAAAACAAAACAAAACAAAAACAGCCAGGTTAGAAAACCAAATCTTACTCATTCTCTTTCTCTCTCTCTCTGATACTATGTTTCCTGCATCCCAATAGTTTACCACAATATGACTGGAAGAAAAATATACTGAAATGTCCAGTGTTGAGGTACATCATAAATTAAAGTTTATTCATTCATCCATCATGGCCAATATTGATTTGCCTACTAAATGCACCATGTGCTGAGGCTACGAAGACAAATATTTCAATTTTCAATAGATATGGGAAAAAGTGACCCAAACTATATTCAAGACTACAGAACGTAAGATCTATTTTTCTTATTATTAGTAACTCTATGTTCAACACTCCCTTGTAAGCTGCAGAGCAAAATGAAAAAAACCAGTAAATTTTTCAGTTAGTATGACACAAAAACAAGAAGTAACGGTTGATACTATTTGATATTATTTGTAACATAAGAACAGATAAAAAGGAATAGACATTGTTTCTAGGGCATTTTAAAAAACAAACATCTTTTTAGTTTAAATTTAAATATTTTAATATTTTGACTGAGATCAGCATATTCCATTAGAGGTAGAATGGAAGTCCTAACTAGTTTTAATAAAGGTTACTCAAAAGACCAGGATTCATATTCTGAACAATTCTTTTTACATTTCCTACTCTCAAAATTTTAAATCAGATGTTCAATCTAGAGTATAATAATGTATGTGTCAATAAGGCACCAAGTTTTCTTTATTTCTACTGCTGAACTCAAAGAGAATAAGTTTGTGTGTAATAGCATTCATTTCAAGGTAGGTATAGAAGAAAAAAGTAACAAGGTTCAAAAGTCAGTGAAAAAGTCTGTCACACATTTATTGAGGGCTTACTCTTTTCCAGGCCTTCTATTTTTATTGGGGCTTACTATTTTAAATATAAAGATGCATAAGACTAGATAAAAACCTCACACTAAAGCATGGACAGGACAGAAGCTATACTTCAATGTGGACAGTGCCCTAAAATAAGAATAGCTAACAACTACTGAGTACTTCTTTGGACCATGCATTAATGCCAGGTGCTTTATACACATAACTTTTTAATCATAATCATAACCACCATAAGCTATGAGTAAAACTATATCAGTCTTACAAAAAGGAAACTAAAGCTCAGATTGCACAAGTGACCCACCCAAACACAACCAGTAAATGGCAGTGGTGGGATTTGACTCCAGAGCTCTCATTTTTTCTAAGGTGAGGTAGAAACAGAAAGAAAGAGGGTCCTAGTGATGAGGTAACACCAAAACTGTATTTTAAAGGATTCAAAAGGGGCAAACCACTCTCCTTGGTTTTGTCTGTTTATTTGTTTGGACAGAAGGGGGACACAATTTCCAGACAGAGTTGACAACAGAGAAAAAAGATGGCTATACAAATTTCAAATAATCCAGAGTACAATGAGCACAGAATTTATAGTCAGGAGTAGCTAGAGAGAAAGCTTAAAACTCAGGCTGAGAGTAAACTAAAAAGGGCCATGCTGATGAGTTTCAACTTGATCCTATGAGCAATAAGGAATCGACAAAGGTTTCAAGCAAGGAAGTGATGTGATCTGATCTGTTTTAGGAAGATAATTTTGACAGTGGTGTGGCACAGCTGGAGGTGGGTCAGAGGCAGGGGAACATTTACAACAGGGAGTTAGTTAGGAGTATATAAAATAATCCAAGTGAAATATAGCAGTGTAGGAGAGTTGAGGAGAAATATTCAAGATATCCAGAAGAAGAATTAAGAGGATTTAGTGACCAATGAGAGGAAAAAAGAAGGCGTGAAGAATGCCTCTGATTTCTGACTTGCATAACTGGATGGATTTTAATGCTGTTGATCAAGTCACAGAAGTCAGAGGGGCACAAAAACTAATAGTGTGGATGGGGTAAAGTGAGCAGATGTTAAAAAGGCACACAGGAACCTGCTATTAATGTCAGCTACAGGTGAGGACAACCAATAAAGATCAAAGACCTGTACTTTTTTAAACTAAAAGATAGTACTTAGACAATCTACATAAATGTACCGCTTACTGCTTTATTTACCTCCAAAGTCACTGATTTTTTTCCCTTGGCCTTTTAGTCAGTTGCATAAAGAGCTATGGGTTGATATTTAAATACCCATGCATTTATATTTTAAAATGACCTATTGAAAGGAAAAGCTGCTATTGAAAAACAGTAACAACTTCTTATTTAATGACTGCAAATTAGAATATAATAAATAACAGTAACATCATTTTGTGTTCTATAAAACTGAAACTGGCAGGTTGGGAAAGTACACTTTTCATTTTCATATACGCTTACCACTAACAGCTGCATGCTGTTTCAGATACTCGCGTCTCACATTGATATTTTTTACCAGACACTGCCTGGCATGAGCTCTTCTTTCTTTTACAGGATCTTTTGCACAAAGTGCACAAATTGCCATATACTCAAGTGGAAGCCGTAATCGGGAAAGACCTTTGTGCAGTTTCTGAGCAAACACTTGTCTTACTTGATAGCATTCATCCTGAAAGACACAATTATTTAACATATTATCCACATGGTACCAAAGAGTAACAACTTTAGATATGAAATTCGCTATATCTAGTAACCAGAAGGGTAAATATAGCAAGTTTACCCACAATCACTGCTTCTGTTCACAAGACTGAGATGTGATAAGTTAATATCAAGGCTGGAGTGACCACCTGGACCCTAATAACCTGGTGTTAGAACATATTGAATGTAATCTTAAAACAGGTAACACTAGTAAATATTAATCCACCCTAACTTAAATAAATGAGATGTGTAAAAAAAAAGTTTGAACACTATCTAATATTTAGCTTTTTCATTTGCTGAGCAAGATAAAACTGTCCAGTTTATATATTTTAGTCCTATCATTTAAAAAACTATTCAGATTAAAATGGACAACTCTGAAGGCAAGAGTTACTAATTTCAGAAACATCACATTACTTTTAGTTCTATAAATGAACCAATCTGGTCATTGCCACTGTGCCAGCTTTCTTCACGCTCCCCACTCTCCTAGACCACCCACCTCCACTCTCCTAGACCTCATCTATAAGGATAGCTCCTGTATCTTTCAGAAATCACTGAGGAATCTGTATCCAGAATCCACTTCTGTGCTCCCTTAGCACTCTGTGCATATCTCCACCACAGCCTTTAGTATACAGTATGAAAACGACTGGTTTATCTGTCTTACCCAGTGCTGTTTGTTCTTTGAAGATGAGAACGACGCCTTTATTTTTCTTTGTGCCTCTAAACCTAGCACAATATCTGGTACACAGATTATTAGAATTTTTTCTAAACTATAGGGAAAAGCTCATATGACTTTTGAGCCATATACGAGACATAAAAAGACCTTCTATGACATATAAAGACTTTCATTATTACACCTTACACTCCACCAATAACATGTGGTATGTTTCATATTATTGCAACTTTATGTTTATTTCTTCTAACGAGAATATAAATTTTGTTTTTCTTCAAAACCTAGGTCATAACACCTTGCCCTTATCATTAAATCCCTATTTTGGGTATCTTCTTTCATTTAACTTAAACTTCAGTTTATTACAATACCAAATACCCACTTTTAAATAAGTAGTCAAGTGCAGCCACTATGGAAAACAGTATGGAGGTTCCTCAAAAAACTAAAAACATAGTTGCCATATGATCCAGCAATCCCACTCCTGGGCATATACCTGGACAAAACTATAATTCAAATAGATACAGGCACCCCTTTATTCACAGCAGCACTATACACAATAGCCAAGATATGGAAACAACTTACATGTCCATCAACAGATGAATGGATAAAGATGTGATACATATATACAATGGAATACTACTCAGCCATAAAAAGAATGATACAATAATAATTTCATTCTTTTTTATGGCTAATATTCCATTGTGTGTGTGTGTGTGTGTGTGTGTATATATATACACCATATCTTCTTTACCCACTCATCTGTTGAAGGACATTTAGGTTGCTTTCATATCTTGGCTATTATAAAAATAGTGCTGCTAATGAACACTGGGATGCATGTATCTTTTCAAATTAAGAGTTTTTATCTTTTCTGGACGTATGCCCAGGAAAGTGGGGTGGGGGAGGGATGGAGTGGGAGCTTGGAGTTAGCAGATGTAAACTATTATATATAGAAAGGAAAAACAACAAGGTCAAGGTCCTACTGTAGAGCACAGGGAACTATATTCGATATCCTGTGATAAACCACCATGGAAAAGAATATAAAAAAGAACATCACACACACACACACACACACACACACACACACCCCTGAATCACTTTGTTGTACAGCATAAATTACCACAGCACTGTAAATCAACTATACTTCAATTATAAAAAAGAAGTAGTCAAGCTTTCACAGAAATATTGTCTATTATCTACCCTCATAATCCACAAAAGGAAGTTAAACTTAGATATCTCATTCCTTCCTCAGTATTATTCCTATAGGGAGAGGAATTTTCATTATTCAATTATTTATTATAAAAATACCCAATTACAAACTGTATAAGTAAAAGTCAATATATCACAAGTATGTTCACAAATGAACAGACCATTCATTAAAATATTAAACAAGAGGGAGAGGAACAAATTAGGAGTATGGGATTAATAGATACAAAGTACTATACATAAAATAGAAAAGCAATAAGGATTTACTGTATAGCACAGGGAATTATACCTAATATCTTGTAATAATCTATATAGTGGGATATAATCTGCAAAAGTCAACCTGAATCACTAAGCTGGTTACACCTGAAACTAACACAATATTATAAATCAAATATACTTCAATAAAGCAAACAAACAACAGAAACACTGAATAGCACTCAAACATCCCTCCCCCTATCCCTATCCCCTAGTTAGATACACTAGGGGGATAGACCATGTCATTCTCTCATTAATCATCGAGGATCCAACAATACAATGCAAATTCATTACAAAATCAATTGTGAATCACAGCAAAGGTAGGAGAGTTTCAAAAAGTCATTAAAGTGATGTTAGAAAAGAACTGTCAAATCATATGCCAGGCAACTGACACATTTAATAACAAAAGATTAGAAAATTGACCACAATGATGATACAGTACGTACATCAAAAGAGAATCATGTGAATAAAGGTTAAAAGATGTGCTCCTGGGAACTGAGGAAGTCTTCCAATGTTTGTTTTTTGCAAAGATTTACCCTTTTCGTTAGGTTATAAAAAAAATATGGGGCTTCCCTGGTGGCGCAGTGGTTGGGAGTCCGCCTGCCGATGCGGGGAACGCGGGTTCGTGCCCCGGTCCGGGAGGATCCCACATGCCGCGGAGAGGCTGGGCCCGTGGGCCATGGCCGCTGAGCCTGCGCGTCCGGATCCTGTGCTCCGCAACGGGAGAGGCCAC